ACTTTAGCCTGGATGAGAACAACTTTTGGGAAAGCAAGGCAATGTAAAATGCAATGGAAGCGTCCGCTCTACCCATATCATTGTGGAAAAATTCTACTACCAGTCCTTCATCACCCTTAACCAAATAGGGTGAATACCTCTCATATTACTGATTTGCTGGTAGTCTCGAAACTCTACTCAAATACTAAAATAGAATTATATGGTCAAAATGAGGGATTACCTCAATAGCTTATCTCTTCTGGCTAAGAATTCAACAAGTATATCTAGAGAATGGTTTACTTCATTAGGAAAAGCAAAATTCAATCCTCTTTTCAATAAAAGTACCATACTACCTTCAAGTTTCGTACTGGATAAATTTATTAACTTATCCTATCTTAGTTTGTTATAACCCTGGTTAATATGAATTAATATAGGTATAAAGTTACTCAACTTAATTCTAATTCCTAAGTTCCGCGACTTCTTATCATGTATACGTCGCGGGATTCTGTCGGTCGCCTCTCGTAACGAGTCGGTCATATCTTGTAATTTAAGGAAATCTACATAACTCAGTATTTCAAAAAGTGATTTCCTAAGGTTAGTTTTGATTCTAATTCGTTCATGTAGTTTGTTGATGCTCTCCTTGAGTCTAGTTTTAACCAAACCATCAACCTCTTCTACAGTAGTTCCTTAGGTTAGATAATTCTCGGGCCGATTAATAGATCAGGTTTTTACAAGATTTCGCGCTAATGTGGCAAAATCTATGTTAGAGAGCCCTGCCGAACCACCAAAAGACTATGCGAGCAGAAAACCGCCTGAAAGGGCATATGGTTTAAAGATATTACGCTAGCTCCAAACATAGCTAATACAAGGCACTTTAAAGGCTATTCCAAAACAACATCTTGGATCTTACGGGGGTCTCACTTAAAAACGTAAGATTAGGGAGCCTATAGAAATTAACTAAGTAGCCAACGTTCTAATTAAGATGAACGAGTGTAGGAATTATTTGTGGTCTTTTGACAGGCTTAAGTAAAGGGAATGGGAGAGCAGGAAAAGCGAGTGAACAAGAGAAGGTTAGATTAGGCTCGAGTCTAGCTGGAATTATCATAATTCCCATGACATGAACATTGCATATACGCAATAGACAAGCCCAAAAATGAATTAACATTAGTGGATAGTAAGCTAGTTTATTTATGTGTCAAGAAAGAGGAGGCAGCAAAAGCACTTCTGGTCCGTGAAGTAACTGTACTCCTCTTCAAGCATGTAGAGTAAGGTTGAAGTAGAAAATCAAATCATGGGATGCCTTACTAAGGTCACGAAGTTAGGTGTATAAAAAAGAAACTAAATATGAATTATTGCTTTGATGATGCATGTCATAATGATACGTATAAAAGCTTAGAACGGGTTCATCTGGATTGCAGGTAGGTTAGCCGATGACTTCTTCACACAAAATAACAGTATTCCCTACGTGGCAATCCTTCGTTTTCCGGTGAGACCACATCACGAATTCCTTCCAACCAAATCTCCTTCGAAATGTAGTCATGTCACAATATACAACTAATGATTTCTTGAAACCTTGTTTTCCTTCATATAGCTATACCTTCCTTGTCGTTTGTTGGATGTGAAATTAGATAGCTGATAGTTATAGAACTTTCTTCTTTGTTTAAGATCCTAGGCTGAATGCTGTGGCTTACGAGCGTTTCTAGGCCTTGACTGATGAGATCGATTTCATAGACGGAAGCTGGGAGTCAAAAGTATGACTACCATTTTAAGCCGTTGTCTGAGAGAAGAATCTGATGAAAAGCTTGTTGCGTAAAACGTTACATTCTTCCTCTGTCGAGACCTGCTATGACGAAAAGCTGGGTATTATGTGGCCCAGAGTTGGCATGTCTGTCGGTATCGGATCGAGGCTCATCTCAGTATACATAATCCAATAAGAAATGGTTAAAGAAAGAGAATTAGAACACCTGATTGCACGATTCTGTATGCCATGGCCTTAGCCTTTTCTTGAAATCGACTTACTAACCCCTTCGTAACATATTCTTACAGTAAATGTAAGTTAGCTGAGCATTAACTTGTAGAATCACATGAATCTAAAATCATTTGAGCAAATTGATTTCTGACTAAGCATTTTTACCTAAAACCTTCGAATATAATTGGTAATAAGTCAAAATAAAGTGCTATAGATAATGTAATACTTTAAGGAATTAATGAAACTTATTGAAGCTGACAATTGAGCAGAAATTTCTTTAAAATTACATTATAAAGTATCATTAATTATTAATTATATATGTAGATCATAATTGATTCATAACACCGAGAACCTTCAACATAATGACTTTGAAAAATTATTTGTTTACCTATAATAGTGTAGCAGTTGAGATGATTAGACTTTCCGAGTCTTCAATGAACATTTCTCAGAAACATTACATGGGAAACCAAAAATAGGGAATAAGGCCATCATTAATTAGTCACAAGAAGTTAGTTTAAATATGAAGCAGACATCGAGATACTGTAACTGCGAACAATAAATTACTAAGCAGTGCTGAATTTGTTAAGAAACAGGGAATAGCCTAGGGTGGGTAGCATGAATGCTTTGAACGAACATTAGGGCACACTAGCAATGTATGAGTGCTAAAAGGAGCCTTGCTATATAAAATCGGTGGGCAGCCTCTAGCTGTCTTCAAGACAATATATCTACAAATAATTCCTTTATTAGAGGCAGTTGTAGATAGAATCTGGTTCCACTTAGAACTTTATTTCCCTATTTGTGATACTTAATCGCTGGTAACTTCCTTTTTGATACATAAATAAATTAAAGTATGGGTTTATATCTGGTTCCTGTTGAACAAAAATGCCCATTTTCAAGGTATAATAAATGGACTGTATAAAGGTATTAAAGGAAAGCTTTCATTTCGTATGGAAGTGTTCCTGTTATCTGCCTTATATTGGTGAGACGTGTCGGCTTATTCGCCAAGAATAAATTGAACAGAAAAATGCCTGTTAAGGCAACCGGATCTAACAGTCAGAAGTAACTAAACATATGGCAGAGAATGAACCTGAGATAAGAGCCCAAGATTACGTTTTGTGTGCCTCTTATTAAAGGAAAGTTACGAGAGTTTAATTAAATTAATAGAATGAGTTCCAGCTCTGATGATATCCACCATATGATGAACGTAAGCTCAGAACCTGTTCGCACGAAATGAGGATATCAGGAATGCACCAATTTAAACGTCGTATCAAGGCAAAACGGCTGCAGTACAACGGGAATCTGAGGTCGTCTTCTGGTGAGATCGACCTACGAATCTCCTCGTCATGCACTCATACAAAATAAAAGTCTCCCTACCAATGTTATCTTAAGGGATTCATAGAATCACAGTCACGCTAAGTATCTACAAAAAGCTAGTGATCTGGGGCAGAGGTTGTAACTGCAATGCTTTGTGGAAGTGGAATTTAGAGCAGAGGTAAGGTTGCTGAGAAAAGGCTAAAAGGTAAGGAAAGTTGGAGAAAAATAGGAATTCCATGCTAGATATCACGAAGGTAGATTGAAAAATATTACTATCTTATACTTTCAACTATGGAAATTAGAGAATTAGAAATGTGAGATAGAAGATAGGCCAAGAGTAGATACACGAGACTGGGATTGGAAAATCAAAGTTTGTCATAGTTTTGCGAGGTGCGAAATCGGGACGAAGTCCTGACCAATGGAGTGCTGCTTTCAGCTAGTGGGGCTCCGGGCAACCGGTGATATCCATAGACAATATGTATAAAAACGAAAGCATGTTGTACCCACCTAGATAAGGTAAGCTTGAGGCGGTGATAAAAAACTCCGAGTTGGAGGTGGTTATTATACCTAATCCTTAGACTAATAGCCTTAAAGACCACGTCGCAAGCGAGGGCTTAGTCACAAGTCTGACGTTGTCACTGATACACGAGTATTGACCTCCAGTGGCGCTTTGCAGCTAGACAGGATAATTGACGTAAAATAATGAATAGATCACGATCTACCGATATTAGGCCGATTAGATTCCTTAACTGGGTTAGGCTGATAAGGGATTATATTTTTTAAATAGTAGCTCATCCTAAAGATTTGCTATAGTATATGAAAAGTCAACATGGATTAACCAGTCAGAGGAATACGTTAATCTAACAACTCGGTAAAAGACATAAAAATAATCACGTTAGCTTAAGGAATGTCGAAAACCTTATTATAGTGCAAGTACTTAAGAGGCACTACTTTGAGCGTCCTTACATGAAATGATGGCAGCATGAACACTTTATCATATGGTAATCCTCGAAACTCACCTGCTTAGCCTACATATAAATCATTAAAATTATAAAAGTTATGGATTCTGACGTTTGTATCATGGTATTAACGAAGTACTTGGGCCAACCAACGTAAAAGAAATGGAGAGAAAGCGTATATGCGATCAAATAATCTGTATTACATAATATTAAAAAGAAAAAAAGGAATTCCTTCAGAGGCGGCGTAATGTTCTCTGTTAAATGATAATAATGAAGTAGTTTCGATTAAAATCAACCAATTTAAATCACATAATCACATTATGATCTATTATTTAAACCGTAATCAATACCGAGTTTATATAACTTAAATTGCTTATTTTAAAGCAATTGCTTAAAAAAGTTCAAATGTATGGAGAAAAGAAAATAAGACTGCAGACGTGCCTTTATGAAAACGTAAGTGTTGCCATCTTGGAGAAGAGAATATGGATAAAATAAGATGAATAGTGACTGGAAAAATAATAAGAGTCTGTATAGAAGCTAAAAAATTAGCTATGCGCAGAAGAGATGATTAAGAGAATATGAAAGAAGAGCAGATCATGAAACCTTAACGAGAGTATAACCGATTAAATAGCCAGACTTTACAAGCAGACAAAGTGAGAATACCGAGAAAAATAAGAGCTTGATTATAACAAATTAAAGTTAAAGATAAATGGGTTAATGATGAGTTCGGTCAGTGAGGGTTAGGAGCTGAGGCTCGAAAATCTCTGCTATGGTCATAACTAGTCGAATGAAATCAACTGGGCTTCAGGTGAGCGTATCTGCTGTACAAGCGCAGGAGCACTCACGTCGTCCTTGGGCACTGTGGGAAGGGTTGGTAGATTTGTATATATTGGATCGCTGGGTGGAGCCGGCAGCATTATCGCGGGGACTGATTGCGTTGGAGCAACAGTAATATCTGGTTTAGCCAGATGGGCTGGCTGGTCCATGGATTGGGCGTCAGCTATTGTAGGAGCGGGCACGGTTGCTGAACTAGTTGCTGTCTGAGAGGTCGAGATACCAGGTTTGACGGACTGCGGGAGAGCCTGATCGTAGAGCTGTTGAGGCACAGATAGGGGTGGTTGGACAAGAGATGGGTTAGGGTAACCAGGAGTGAAGGTAGTGGGGTTTGGCAGGTTGGTGAGCCCAGCGCCTGTGTAGACACCTGGTTGACCAAAGTGGACTTCGGCTGGTGGAAGAGCCTGGACGAGGGCTGGAACATGTGAAAAAATAGGGGGCATTTAAAAGGCTAAAAATTGCTTGCGCGTCTATGTAGAGTTAGAAGAGTTTACAATAGGTACATTAGTTAATAAAGATAATAGGTTCCTAGGGTATCAAGAATTTATCCAAGAAATAAATTCGCATAAACTAGCCTATGAAAAAAGCTGAAACCAAATCTTATAACTTTTACAAAGCAAATTATAAAGCCATAATTATCAGGGCATGGTACTAAATTCAGTAATACCCTTAATCATATGTTTAACTCTGTCCAAACTTTTGTATATGAATAGAATTAATTACCTTCACAAAGTATGGTAAGCTTGACTTGAACCTGATTATACAATTTCTAGATGTATTCACCCAATTTCGTTTAAGATGATGAAGAATTGGTAGAAGAATTTTCCCACAATGATATA